CAGAAGAAATTTGGAATAGTGAAAAGGATAAACTCGAAAAAAAACACTTGAACGATAAACAGACATAAATATTTTCTTATTATTTTAATTGCCTTAAATGTTATAGATATAAAGAACTTGAAAAAAGTAATAAAACTTTCATGGCTACTTTGATACTGATACTAGAAAGACAATTTCCTATGAACAAATAATTTAACTTTTGCATATGGAAAAAGAAAAGGCAGAAACTCAAAGAAAAGCATTCACACAACAAGCCGAAAGATATAGGGCTCAATATGAACATACTCAAAAGTCATTGGATGAAGTGCACACATTACTTATTTATTTTTCGTACCTCATAACATTTTAGTTCTTAAATATATACTTTCATATTGAGCAACTATTTTTTATACATTGTTTGTTTGTTTAGGAACATAAGTATGCAGAAAAGACAAGACCTTTGGAGAAACTGCAAACGAACTTTTAGAAAAAAATAAAATAAAACTCCTTGAGAAAAGTAATCAAACATTGAGAGCTACAAGTAGATGACTAAAAAAACAAGTTACCATGCCAGAATCTTCATTGAGAGCTGCAAGTGAATGACTAGAAAAACAAGTTACCACATTGGCAATCTTCGTTGAGAGCTGCAAATGACTAGAAAAACAAGTTACCATGTCAGAATCTTTGTTGAAAGAAGTAGAGGAAAAAGTGCAAGCGCTAGATAGTAATTATTAGACATTTTGGTATAAATTATTTTAATAGTAATATCTTATTCTTTTTTTTTAAATTATTAAATAATACAAATCAAAAGTCTACAACTCGACCGAGATAGTTCTGTTTAAGAAACAAAGATATTCAAAAAAGACAATGAACAATGAAAAAACCGATTCCATACTAAGTATCTCCTATTCAGATCACGATAATCTTACTGTGCGATATTGTAGCCTATGTGTTAAAAATTAATGCAAACTAACTTATTTTAACTGTATACTATTGTTACTGGGATTGCGAGTAAATTCTAACTACCTATTATGTGTCAAATAGGTTTGTAACAGAATTATCTATGCTAATTCATAGTTAATTCCATTATAAACTAACTCATTTTTTTGTCCTTATTGGCAGTAAAAAGGAAGATAAACATTGTTAGGATTAATATTATAATAACTATGCTTCTTTATTAAATAAAATTTGGTTCTATATATATATATATTTATTAATA